CAATTAGTTTCAATATGCAGGGATGTGCGATAGACTTACCTCCACTTGGTGCACCCTGGGCAACGTATACTCATACGGCAAAAAAGTCTATTGACTGGCAGTTGACTTCTCACTTCAAACAACCATCACCTCACTCTATGTCATATCGACTATTTTCACAGTACTCACCTCACCTTTGTTCTACCTTTGTGTTTGTCTCTTACATCTTTGAAACACTCTTCTGTCCCCCCCCCCTCGACTTTTTAATTTGATGTTCCTTCCCCTCTGTGAAGTCTGAAGTCAACTAAAGGGCTAATGATAACTATCATAAGCCTATCATTTGATATAAATAAATAAATAAAGTTTCAATATGCAAACATTTTTGGAACACCACGTAGTTTTAGTAGAGCCGAGAAAGGAACGTTAAGTTTTTTAATTTGATTGAGTTGCGTAAGTTGCATGCCCTTAAAGTGATAGAAATTTTATTTAACCTTATATAAATCATAAGATCTTTCAAGGCTATTGGGACAATTAATGAATTAATGGATAGCATTTCGAACACAGATGTTACATTCAGTCCGAGTCTATCAACTAACAAAACATTTTTTCAAAGTAAATAATTGAGAGAGCATTTAATCAACCCATAGGACCCGCAACAGGAATGGAACGCGGACGAGTCATGGTCGACAACAAGCTTCACTCTAGGAGACGCTGTCGCAGCTGTACACTCATTTAAACATGGTTTGTTGTTTACATTGAAGCACCATAATATGCCCGGCATAAATTGGAACATTTAATGGTTTAACTGACGTGAAACAGCATAAGCTACACTTCATTTTAATAAAAGGAGACAGAATCGGAGAAAACAGAAACATAGGAGATTACTGGTTCAATATTCATCGGCGCACATTCATTGGGCGAGACGATAAACTATAAAGTTTTACCTAGTCATCAATTTTGGACAGAGTAAGTTAAAAGCGAGTGCAATTCAAAAGATTTTCTTCCTTCCACCCATTATGAGAAATTAGCAAAATCATCGATCAATGAAAACAACCTTCAAAACTAAGCACCAGAAGAGCTTAAATCTCAGCAATACCTCAGGGGAGGATTGTAAGTTCATAATCGGAGAAATCGTGAGAAATCACTCTCCATTTATGCACTATTGAAAACTATACATCACTAACGTGAACATTAAATGATGCCAATATGATCACAAGAGAATTTTAAAGGTATAATTACTCACGTTGCCAAAAAACGTTGCTTAAGTTAACTCACAATGGTTAACGATAAGTAAAAGCATGTTATGCTTTTCCACAGTCACAAAAAACGAACTCGGCTGAAAGCATTAATTTGCTATGCCTGATTTAATCACAATATCACAGCCGTTACTCGAGGAGAGATAGATAGATAGGTAGATAGGTAGGTAGGCAAATATTTCGTCTAACAAAATGATGCACATTGCCATGAAATTTATTTTGGTTCAAATATTCTCAGTCCACAATAGAGACGATAGACAATAATCGGGGTGGGTGAAAAATCATCGGTAATTGTTGAGCTGACCTTTTAATGGAAATATAGTTGATCGAAGTATCTTGCAAAAGCACTTAAGGCGCTATTCAAATCTGCATTTCCTTAAAGGTTAATGGCTAATTCTCTCAAAGATAAACGGTCATCTAACATATTTTCAATTAGAAAGATGCAGACGAATACCTCTGCTACATGTTCACTTTAGTAACTTGACACTGGGCTATGACAACGTAACACAAATCAGCATTTTCCTAAAGGTTAATGGGTATTCATTTAAAGAAAACGTAGCCTAACACTTGCCATACTAGTTAATCGTTGAGGTTGTGCTACTATGGCAAATTTATTTACATTTACATTCTACCTCTCCACCCTAACCCGCGCATTCAACCATGAACATCGTAGTCAGGTCAGGTTTTAGTATCCGAATTCACCTTGAACAGAATGACAGAATTCCATTATATGGATTCTAAATAAACCCCATTTTACTCAAAATTTTAAATTGAACATCGGAAGAGATGAGAACCGACTAAAGCATGATATTTACCTTTATACTAATAGTCGAGGCCATTTGGAAGGCATATAAGCAGGAATAACGGAACGAGAGGGAAAGCAGCTCGGTTAAAAAATCGTTTACACATGGCCCACAAAACAAAAAGATCTTGCTTTATAGACGATAACCCAAGGGAGAGCGACAAATTTAGCCAATTCGTTGCCCTTTTAGCCACGTACGCTAGCACAGAAGACGAGAGGGAAATACGGCAAACCAGGCCCCCTATGTCATTAATCACACTGGGCTGGGATGCTACACGCTCTGCAAGACATAGGCATGAGTCATTAAGTGAAGATATTGTGTTATCTTCATTTTCTCCTCATTTTGTAAATCAGGAAAGTAAAGCTCGCAGTGAACTAAAATTTAATGTACACGCAAACCGAATGTCGTAGCCATGACATGTAAACACTATAGTCAGGTAAGCACTAACAAGGAGAGATGAGCGTATTTGTGCTTGCAAATGTTAACAGTGACAATGTTTTTTTTGCAGAGCATGAAAAATAATATCCTTTTTAAATGAAACACTGGAACTTACAAGTGATCGACTTCCAGTAATTCATAAAGACGTTTACGTCCAAAGATCGTTCCAACTCCGAAAGCTGTTGCTCCAAGAAAGACGAGAATCATAAGGAGCAGTGCACCCAGAGGTGAACTTCGAAGACACCTTGTGCAAGAACTTTCGTCTGCTTTGAGCAAAGAATCATAGGTATGTGAAAAGGTCATAACAACATAAATTGTCTGCTTAAAGTAAGTGCATCATAAATCTGCCGAGTTCGGGTGTTATACTGAATCAAGCAATCTATAAATTAGGGGAAAATAGGTTGCCTTCACCACAATTTGGGAGTTAGAAAATGAAGCAGAAAAACTCAGTTTACCTTTAGTCTGTGTTGATGCTGGAGAATATAAGTAAAGAGAGCGTGGAAGGTTAATAAAAAAATTAAAGGATAATTAAGGATAGCACCCTAACACTCCCAGTTAGGATGAGTGAGTCATTCAATACAGGGAGAGATTAGTCACGGACATCCTTGAAGCTAAGGCCATGATATTTACGCAGTCACGTTAAAAATTCATTAATTATCCTTAATTTAAAGAGGTTCACACGCCAGATAATAATTTAATAATACCTACCTTTTACAACACTTCCTCAAAATATTAAATGTTCTATTTACTGAGAAATCAACTCAATAACGTCAACAAGCAGAAAATTCTGAGCAAAGCCACTTATACACTGAGAGAGTGATCAGGTCTCTGTGGCAGGTCTAACTTTGACCGCAAGAAAGTAATGAAAACTAAAAATCCATACATATACTAGAATGTTATTAACCACATGTTAGCACATTAATGGACAAAACTTTCAGTAAAGGTTTTTTAAATTATGACTTACGTCTTGCTAAAACAAGTCAGATTTAGGTAATAATAAAAAGCGATCTCCAGCAAATAGTGTTATAAGTTTAAGGAGAATAAAAGCTCACATTCATAGAATTCCGACATCCTGATGCCCAAATATTCCGTGACGAATGGTTTTGACTGTGGCTATATGATCGCAAGCCCGTGGCTGACCTCATAGCATCGACCAATCAGAGACCTAAGCAAGGAAGCTGCTTACTGGAATTATACTATAGGCTGTCATGTGAAGCTGTGATTGGTTAACTTGTAGTGCGCACGTGGTAACTTGCCTAGTGTGCGGCATGCAAGCTTCATTAGCCAACTTGAGGGGAATATTGTTTTTTTTTCCAGAAAATTAGGGCGCGCTTTAGAGATGCAAAGTAAACGCAGAGTAGGGGGGGGGAGGAAAGGCGAAGTGTGAAAAGAGTTATTTCGCACAAATGTATGCAATCAGAGTCTGAAATCTATTAGCTCTTAGAGGGTATTTTTAGCGGACAGAAGTGGGACAGTATCAGCGCCTGAGGAGGCGTCACAAAAACAGCTTGTCGAAAGAGAAGTCTCTTCCCAGCGGTATTTTCAATTCTTTTCTGCATTTTTCAGAGCTTCTATTAGTAAAATTCATATATATTCCAAATAGAGTATTTCGCAATTTCACTTTAATGGTGATGATTAATTTATTTATTCTAATCATAGCTCGAGTAACTAACAATAAGAACTTAAATTTTCATACTTTTCTGGATGGGATATCAGTTGTAAATCACGAAACTTGCCTACACAGGTGAGATCAAATTCACGTAAAGAAAGCACAATGGATTAGCAGTGACGATCTTGCTCTTCACGTGGTCCCTAAAAGCGAGCTCATCGTGAATCACATCCTCAAGGAAGTCCTTGAGCACGCCACGAGACTCTTCTGGTTTCACGAGAAGGAACTAGGGTTGCATTAACATTAACTCGACTACCCAAATACCGGGTAGACGGCTTGATGGTGTTCAGATCGATTTCGCTCAGAATCTTCCTCTTTCCTCGGTGCTGCCTTCCCTTTCCTTGACCTTTATCACCTCCAGACTTTCCCATTACGCAAGAAGTAGATGAAGGCTGTGCTACTTTATCCACCACAAATTTTCCGCCAGCATATTCCTCATCGCACCAAAGACCGTAATTTAACATTCATGTATTTTGTTTTTGGAAACATTTATTTTTTTAAATCAAATTGCAGGCGTTTTGATAGTTATCATTAGCCCTTTAGTGGACTTCACGCTCCACAGAGGGGAAGGAACATCAGAGTGGAAAAAATCGAGAG